TTTGGCCCATTGTGGCCAAAATCAGCCCTTGGATAAACTAGTGCAACTCTGATGGCAGTGAGAGCTGTACCTACTTCCTCCAGGGATGAAACTGGACATGTATGTTAGGGGGGAAAAGAGAAAGAGTTTCAATGCACCTTCCCGTTAGAGAACTTGCCCAGGACAGGCTTTATGAGTAGGGTGCTACCAAATTCAGGGTCCATTTTGGTAAATTTCACGGTCAGAGGATTTTAAAAATTGTAAATTTCATGATTTCAGCTATTTAAATCTGAAATTTCACGGTGTTGTAATTATAGGGGTCCTGACCCAAAAAGGAGTTATGTGTGGGGGGTGGGGGGGAGCAGAGGGGTCTCAAGGTTATTGTAAGGGGGTTGTGGTACTGCTACCCTTACTTCTGTACTGGTGCTGGTGACAGCGCTGCCTTCAGAGCTGGGCAGCTGGAGAGTGACGGCTGCTGGCCGGGAGCCCACCTCTGAAGGCAGAGCCACCACCAGCAGCAGCACAGAAGTAAGGGTGGCAAGGTATGGTATTGCCACCCATACTTACCAGAATCAGTGCTGGTGGGACGCTGCCTTCAGAGCTGGGCACCCAGCCAACAGCCATCACTCTCCGGCCACCCAGCTCTGAAGGCAGCACAAAAGTAAGGGTGGCAGTACCGTGACCACCCTAAAATAACCTTGTGACATCCCTCCCCTCCCCCTCTCCCCCCACAACTCTCTTTTGGGTCAGGACCCCCAGTTTGAGAAACGCTGGTTTCTCATGAAATCTGTATAGTATAGGGTAAAAGCACATAAAAGACCAGATTTCATGGGGAGGGACACACCAGATTTCACAGTCCGTGAGGTGTTTTTCATGGATATAAATTTGGTAGGGCCCAGGGTATGGTATGGGCCAGGTTCTCTCCAGGGCTCAGCTTCCACATCATTCTGGGGTTGTAAGCCAGGGACAAGTGCTCTTTCCCATTGCACGTGCTGTGGTTTGCAGTAATCAAAAGCCTTAGATGTGAGGTTGGCTTCCAGCTGTTCTGATAAGTAACTGGCTGGACAGGCTTCCCATATAATGGGGCATGCGGGCTATCCAGAATCATTGTTAGAGTTCAGCCCTTTATGTAGGGCTGAGTTGGAAAGTTCCAATCCAGACTTTACAGAGGCATATCTAATTGCATACCACACACAGATGTGTGGTGTGGAGAGAACCAAATTCTCAGAAAATGCCAACCAGAGGGGGAGAGCAGCTAAGCAGAATGTTCCTTGCTGTCTGGATACACTCTACAGAGAGTAGAGGGTATGTAAGGCTCCCCTGTGCAAAGTCTATGTGAGGACCCAGAAACCAGGTGTAAAACATGGATAAAACAAGAGTTGGCGCAAACTCTTACCAATGGCGTTCTTTGACCCTAAGCTGTGACAGACTGCAAGGAAAGTGATGGGAAGTAAGAGTTGTCAGAGTTCAGCATTAGCTGTGCCTTCCCTCAGCAGCACAACAAGTACAGCTCTGAACCATGGTTGCTACCACATAAGGTTAGATAACACAGTGATGGGTGTTATAAAGACCTCCTAGAGGGATAAATAGGTAGATAGCCAATGTCAGCATGGCTACTAGTTCTGCCCTGGTTATGTGGAGAGGCTGGAAGGTAGTCCTCAGTGGAAGTTTCTCATGCAGCTGGAGGGCATCCATATGATTGGGGCCCTGAATCTTTATTGCCCTGTTGAGCCTGTAGATTAAGTGGGAACTCTATAGTTCCACTGCAGTCATAGAGCTCTAGCATTAATTTACTTCCCTCTGTATTTGTTTTGCTGGAGAACAAGGGCAGGGTTAGAGATATGTTAGTGTTTTAAAAGGTCAAGTCAAGGATACATTGACAGTAGTCCAGTCTGGAGCTAAGTCTATTTTTAACTTTCCCTTGAAACCTTGATTTTAAATAGATTTGGCTAACAGACTAGGATACAAATTCAAAATCATCATACGATCAATCTAATCAGTTCAGTGCTTTTCATAATTTCAGGCTTAACTCTGGTGTAACTAGCTGTGATCCGGTCTGGGGAAATGTGGATATTTTTTCAAATACAGAGGAAAAAGTAATACATGAACAAAATTAGATAAGTATTACAAATACTTGCACCCTTTTTATGGCATTATCATGCACTCCAGAACCTGAGCTTTGGACTACTGCCACGCACTGTACTTGTTTAGTTGTCATACTTAAAGTATGTAGTTTGAGATGTAAACTTTCTATCAGTATAAAAGTACAGGATCAAACCCTACAGCTCTTCTTTATTGAATCCGTGATTCAGCATAGCACATAAGTATATGCTTAACTTTAAACATGTGCTTTTGTCAAACTGAAGTCAGTAGAATTTAAGCATGTGCTTACGTACCTAGTTGAAGAGGGATAGTTTGCTGAACAGGGGGCTTAGAAGTCCCATTACTCATACAAATGATCTCATTGATTATAAGGGGAAACTTAGTTATTACAGTCTGTTCACTCTCGTAGTAAGCACCATAGCATTGGTCCCAAAGTTTTAAAAATTATTCTACCGTTGGCAGTTCCAGACGTATATGCTAGATGTATTTCCTCAGTCCTTCTCCCACCACTTTGACTCACTGCTATTTGTTAAGGAAGAAGATCTGAGTTGTTTTTTTTTAAATGAGAGATTCTAGTCTCTCTTTTTTCCGTGGGACTAACTTCTTCCCTCTTTTTAATCTCAAAGGCCTCTATCTTCCTCTCTCTTGTACCTTGGAAATATCTTTCCATGGTGGTGAAGATAGGAATCTGTTTCTGAATAAAGAGACAGCTCTGGTTAGACAAGGTCCCGAGAATAGCAACCGTGGGTCTTCCACCCTTCCAAAAAGGGAACAGTGGTTATTCATCTATGACCTCAGAACATCCTCTAGTTGCTGGTCCTGTAAATGTGCAGGCAATTCCAGAGCACTGCCCTTGCAGTCGAGTGTGACACTACAGGTGTGCCACAACTTAATTTCCCCAAGTGGAGCAGCAATAGCTATAAATTTAGCAGCCTAGGGCCAGGAGAAGTCAACACACATTAACTAAAGGCTATATCCCTCTTAATAAGGCTTCAGCCCAGGAATCATTACAACAAACAGGTCCTCATTCCAGGAATCACTACAATAATAATTTCATCAGGCCTCAGACTCAGGCTCCCAAATTTACTCTCCACACCCAAGTCTCTGCATCAGTTTAGGCTTGTATTCAGGGAGCAACTGCTCCTACTTAATGCAGCCTGCTTGGCTTCTCTACTGCACTCTGCCTGGTTTCTTCTCTCCCTGCTTCCTGTTCCTGTTAATATCACTGGTCGCGGGAGCAGCCAATGGGAGCTGCTTAGCCGGCACTCGGGGTGCGGACAGCGTGCGGAACCTCCCTGGCTGCCCATGTGCAGGGACCTGGTGGCCACTTCCAGGAGCCACAGGGAGCCTGCCTTAGCCCCGGGCCCCCACTGTGCCGCCGACTGGGCTTTTAACAGCCCAGTTGGTGGTGCCAGCCGGAGCTGCCAGGGTCCCTTTTCAACGGGGCATGCCAGTCAAAAACCAGATGCCTGGCAACCCTAGCTTCTAGCCTGGCAGACAGGCTGTCATTTACATCTCAGGCGTAAAATATTTCATCCAGAGGATCCAACTTACGTGCCATACGCTCGAGGGCTTTTTTGAAATTTGTGCAAATAATGAATTCATAATGCCATTTTTAGCACTCCTAATGTCCATTTTCATTTACCTGGCATAATCTTCCTCTTTTAGGTTGTACAAACTAGTGTTTCCAGTGAAGCATCACCATTCCTCACAATGAGCGGCACTACCATGCCTGACCTCCTTTGACTATTACCCCATAACATCAACCCTGTTAATGCTATTAATATAAGGGGAGAGCTGTTAAGTCGTATACCTCATGATTGCTGTTGGATGCCCTTAAAAATCTACCATATAAAAATGTTCATTAGAGAATTTGGGCTGTGCAGAAGGGGACAGGTGGTGGTGGAGTCAGTGGACTAATACAGCAGCATTTTATCTCTACTGAGCTGTGTTCAAAACCTAAACTGTCTCATGACTGAAAATGAGTTTAGTGATTTCAGCACACAGCCCATTTGTGCACATCTTAGAACCACACATGCAATCTGACGTAGTTTGCCATTTTTTCATGGGACTCTCAGGGCTAGAAGAGCAGCAAGTGTTTTGCAGTACATTGACCAACCTGTGTGGGGAAGCTTACACAGTGCTCCCTAGGCGCCAACTCCATGGGTGCTCTGGGGCTGGAGCACCCACGGGGAAAACATGGTGGATGCTGAGCACCCACTGGCAGCCCCACTAGCAGAACCTTCCCCTCCACCCAGCACCTCCTGCCCACCGGCGGGCCCCGCAGATCAGCGCCTACCGCCTTCCGCGGATCAGCTGTTTGGCGGTGTCAGGAGGCGCCGGGGCGGGGGAGGAGTGAGGGCGTAGCATGCTCGGGGGAGGGGGTGGAACTGGTTGGAGAAGAGGTGGGGCAGGGACGGAGTAGGGGTGGGAAGAAGCAGGGCATGGTGGGGACTTGGGGGAAGGGGTGGAGTGGGGGCAGGGCTTGGGCGGAGCCGGGGGGAGCACCCCTCCGCAGATTAGAAACTCCGCGCCTATACAGTGCTCGCCAACCTTCTCTGTGTTCCAAGTGAGGGATATTAGTCCTTTACTTTAATAGGCATTAAACGACAATGATCGTTTTTAAAGTAATGTTCTAATTACACTTAACTGCATGAATTCAGTGATTATCCTATACAGGTATGTAATAAGGGCACAATAGGAAATTCCCTCCTACATGTCACTAATGTAGCTATTAAATGAAATCATTGGCTATACTAATTAGATTTTGCCTATTTGCCCTTTAAAAGAAAAAACAATGGATGAATTCAGCCATTCAAATGTGTACCTAACCTATTTTTCCCATATGTGAAATGTGCACATAAAAAGTTAGTTTAACTATTTCCTGAATACTAAACATCATTTACCATAACTTACAGCATAAATGAAACTGATCCTTCTTGTGAAGCAACCAGAAGGTATTATTTCCATTTGCAGTGTATTTGATCAGAATCATTTGCTTCCTCGGAATCTCCTTGAACCTCCATCTTTGTATTTTTCAGTCATTTCCTTGTTTCCTCACCACATTGGTGATAACTTTCTGGAAGATTAACTGGCAGTTTTGTTAAATGCAGTGGTTCCCAATCTTTTTTAGGCATATGCCAGTACACCTATTTAAATGCCTGCCCATGAGAGGCGCCAAGCCTTTCCTGCAAAGTGTTAAGTGCTCTCAACTTTCGTTGACATCACTGGGAGTTTAGGGCACTCAGCATCCTGCAGGATGGGGCCCACAGATGTCACGTTGTGATGCTGAAGCCTGCAGCCTCCCATTTGCTTGTATGTTCTGTAACCAGCAGTGAATCCTGTGCTGCTCCATATCCTAGTCTCACAGTTGCGCACACAGTAAATGTGGGGTGGATGGCAACATTAAGTGGAAGCTCATCATTAAGGGGCCAGTATTGTTCCTATTCAAGTCTCTTTGGAGATGTAGCCAAAAAATACTGTGACAGACCCAGACCAGTGGGGTACAGGAGTCTGGTAGAGGGCAAATATACTGGTCACTGGATGAGTAGTTTTCTGTTCCCTGAGTGACCAGAGCAGGGGCTGCACTAGAATAATCAGGAACCTGCTAGAACCAGTTAAGGCAGGCAGGCTAATTAGGACACCTGAAGCCAATTAAGAAGAAACTGCTAGAATCAATTAAGGCAGGCTAATCAGGTCACCTGGGCTTTAAAAAGGAGCTCACTTCAGTTTGTGGTGTGAGTGTGAGGAGCTGGGAGCAAGAGGCGCAAGGAGCTGAGAGTGAGAGGGTGTGCTGCTGGAGGACTGAGGAGCACAAGTGTTGTCAGACACCGGGAGGAAGGTGTTTGGAGGAGGCCATGGGGAAGTAGCCCAGGGAGTTGTAGCTGTCATGCAGCTGTTACAGGAGGCACTATAGACAACTGCAGTCCACAGGGCCCTGGGCTAGAACCTGGAGTAGAGGGTGGGCCTGAGTTCCCCCCCAAACCTCCCAATTGACCTGGACTGTGGGTTCTTCCAGAGGGGAAGGTCTCTGGGCTGTTCCCCAACCCACATGGTGAATCTCTGAGGCAAGAAAATCCGCCAATAAGCGCAGGACCCACCAAGACAGAGGACGAACTTTGTCACAAAACCTAGCACAAATGGCAGAAGTACTATACCAGTAGTTGCACACATACTTGGGGTTGGGAACCACTGTGTTATCTGATACCTGATAACCTAAGGAGAAATATTAACATAGTTGAGTAGATTTCTGGGTCTTCTACAAGTTATGGGATGATGCTGAATGCTTCTAACCAATATTTCTAACCAATACCATAGCGCCCTCTCTCTCTATAGCAAACCACAGACACCTACTGTGTTAAATTAATGGTAAGGATGTAATCTGAAGAAACATACATGAAGACAATGATAATTAAGATTGACATTTCATCACTAAGTTCACATCTGCTTGCCTAAGTATTGCAGAAGTCTCAGAAAGATGGCTGATATCACATAATCGTATCTGCCAGAATACATAAACAAAACAGTTAGAGTAAAGAGCAAAGTAGTCACATACTATATATTTCACTATATATTGAGGCACATTTCAAAGTATGCATTATATTTACTTAACAGGCCTTCTGAATTAGTACAGCGTTGTTCTACTTTAGTGTATAATTTCAATCCATTACAATGTTAACATGGCCCTACATATAAGAAAAATAGCATCTGCTGAAAAATTGTATTGCAAGCACATGGTAGTTTAAAATAACAAACATACTAAAAGACAATGAGGCAAATGGGTTGAAAACATCCATTTTATACACTATTTTCCAAGTAGCTGGTTTTGATGTTAGAAAACACTATTCCACCCTGGTACATTTTCTATTCTTTTAATTTACTCATAATTTAACAACGGATGGAATGGTGGTTTTAGACATTTGCAATTTGCTATTGGACTTAAATTCCATATACCATCTCTGGCCCAGTAATAAGCCATTTAAATCAGTGTCTAAGTAGTACACCCTGGAACATAGACCTTTAACTTCAGGACAGAGAGTGGATGCTTCTCTGATGTAACCTCTTCCTTTAAAGCTTTTGTCTTTTCTTTTGTTACAGTTCCTTTTATAGTACCTTACCTTCACCTTCGTTCTTTTTTAATGCATATTGTTAACTCTGTTCATAAGACACTTCAAGATCATCTATTTTGGTGTTGTTTTAATTTTTCCAGTAGAAACAGATATTCTGTGGCTTATGCAGCACAGAAGCCATGGCTGTTGAATGCTACAGTGGAGGAAAACATTATCTTTGGGAGTCCTTTTAACAAACAGAGGTAATTATCAGTTTCCTTAGTGTTATGAAACCTAAGGGCTAGATTCCCTCCATGCCAGATGAGGAGGGGAGCAAAGAGGTGGAGAAAGAGGTGTAAAAGACCCTAAAGTCACTGAAGGGAGAGGACATAGGAGGCAATTACTGACATTTTCACTCCCAGGAGTGGACTGTAACAATGGGAACTGCTGATGTATCGAGCTAGCAAGAAGTATAGGGAGGGTGGGTGGGTAGGTGGGTGGGGAAGAAAGGGAGGTAGAATGAGCTCTCAGCTTCTAAGTCCATTATTATATATTATTGTTCCTGGGTCTTGCATAGCAGGGAAATCACCCCTTGTAAGGGCCAGGGAGAATGACAGTTCCTGTTCTGAGGACACAGGAAGTGCTCCCTTTGTAAGTTTTTCTGGAGTTGGCTGGCCAAAGGCACATTGCAGCTTACGTGCTCCCACTGTGTACTGAGGAGATCAGGGAGGGATTGTGCCTCCATTGCTCCTCATAGGGGACTGCAGTTCAGCACTGCCCTCAATGTGGACCAGTGGGTGAAAGCCATAGTCTGGCTGTTAGGTGTAGAGGGTTCCTGCTTCAGAGAAGCGGCTGCTTATTCATCTGGGTCCCGAGAGAAAGTAGCTTAATGGTCTGAGGTTACTGCCACATACGGGGACAGATTAAGCCAACTTTGAGGCACACCCAACCTGGATGCTCCCCACAGCCACCATCCCAGCAGTGAGTAGACATGGAGCAGTAGTGGGAAAAGCAACAGGACCTCTTCCCCCAACCAAGAAGAGGAAGGGTGGCCCCTCCCTGAACAGCAGGACTACTCTGCGCTGGCTGCAGGTCTGGGGCTTTCTCTTTGGCTCTAACTGGCTGTTGCTCCTTTTGCCTGTTGGGGGCTGTCTGCAGACTCAGAGCTTGTCTACACATACAGCATTGCAGTGGCGCAGCTGCACTGCTGTAGCACTTTGTGAAGATGCTACCTACACTGGTGAGAGAGCTTCTCTGGTCGGCGTCAGTATTCCACCTCCCCAGGAGGTGGTAGCTATGTCAGCGGGAGAAGCTCTCCGGTCAATATAGAGTTGACTACACCAAGGGTTAGGTCGGTATAACTACGTTGCTCAGGTCGGTATAACTGTGTTGCTCCTGAGCAATGCAGTTATACTGACATAAGTCTGTAACATAGACCAGGCCTTAGACAAATATCATGGCATCTGTGACACTTGGGGCATATTCACAAGCTTTACTTGGAAACTGTGGAGACCAGAAGTGTTTTCTATTTTTGAAATTAAGCTGAGGTTCTGATGTCATCATATGACTCTGGAGCAGGGGACATAGGCATGGTCCTATTGCGTCCATGCCTTAATCCAGTCCTGGTCTAGTGGATATCAGAGCACCACATTACAAAACACCATACAATTTGATATTACTGTGCTGAAGACAGGCCTACCTGCTGTGTGCCTACCTCAAGTCAGTGATAATTGGGACTTCACTGGAAATACAGGGTACTGAAAGTCAAAACACAGCTCTTTTGTGCCTGGTTCTGACTACCCTTACCCAACACTTACTTTTTATGTTCATTTAAATAATCAACCAACAAATGCAGTGGGAAAAGTGACTTGATTTTAGGAAAACAAATTGCTAAATTCTAGGCATTTTTACTGGCAACACGCACTTTGCTTTAAGTTATTAAAAATAAATTATATTCCTTTCCTATGATATGCCACTCAGTTCACTTGATAGCAATTAGTGATGGGCAGATCACACAAAATACAGATAAGCATCCACAAATTCAGGGACCAGAATCTCAGCTGGTGTAAATTAGCTTAGCTTCATTGAAGTCACTAATAAAAATGGCTTTTTGTAAAGGCTTCACTTGAGTTCCTTTTAAAGTTAGGTAAACTCTTTTGAACTTCACCAATAGATTAAGTCTGAGTTTTGGAAGGAGGTTTTTGTTTCATCCAGTTTGATTGTCTTTCCATAAGAATAATCGTTTTTTTTTTCTCTGCAGATACAAAGCTGTTACGGATGCATGCTCTCTGCAGCCGGACATTGACCTATTACCATTTGGCGATCAGACAGAAATTGGAGAAAGGGTAAATAAAGAGGTGGACGTTTGTATGACAGCCTGGTTTGTGTGATGGGTATCACATTTCTAGATTGTATTGAGCTGCAAGCCTGGTAAACATTCGTAATAGTTGTATTTATTAATATTTATTATAATTCCACATTAACTTATATGCCATCATAGATATTCATGAAACCTAGCAATCTAAGAATCCAGCTACTCTGATGCTAGTCAGCATTATCATGTACTCCCTGAGGCACCTTAGCCTAGAATCAAATCTTAGGTATCCAGGTATAAATCTGAGTAACTCTGTTGGCGTCCCAGACCAGAATCTGGCCCTGTGCGTTTATTCTTTCCGTAAGTGCCGTGGAGCCCCTGCATTCTTTTTATGATACATCATGGAAAATGAAGTCACTTAGGAGACTAATATTGTGCAGACTCAAGAAAAACAAGGGGAAGGATTCACTCCTGATATAACTCCACTGTCTTCATTTTACACTGTGATCCTGATTCTCATTTATACTGTGGCCACTCTACACCACTCTGGAAGGGAAAAGGGGCTTTAAAATGGGTGTAAATGTAATTTATCCACAATCTAAGCCCCTTCACACGGCTAGAATGGGGCCACGTGGCTCTTAGTGTAAACAAGAATGAAGTCCTGTGTCTACATTGTACTCAGGAGCACAGGAAAAAAGTCAAGATCTGTGCCACTGACCTTAATCCAGTGGGATTTTTGCTTCCAAGCTCTTATATTGATACTGTAAACTTAAATATTATTAACCTGACAAACTGAAAAAAATCAGTTTTCCTATGAAACACCTTTTAAATAGCTCCATCATGATTTTTATTTTTTAATTCTTTTAAATCTACCGGAGTAGAGGGGGTGGAGTGGAGAGGGGCTGTTGTCCCCTGCAGCTATTCAGAAGGCTCTTTTGATCACAGTCTTGCATGTTTTCCCAGCCAGAACCAGTCCTCCTCTGCCAGGAGAAGAACTTTATACATTCTAAGTTATTTGTGATGAGTTTATATGAAATTGCACTAATAATAACAGTTTCTTTCTCAGGAGGTTATACACTGACTATTCGTTTACCAACAGGACTAACCTTATATCCAACACTTTGAAAAATTCTAAGGAAACTTCTTTGGGTGGTTTAAAAAAAAACTTGCCATCTTTCAACGTCTTGTCATACACAAATCATTTTGTTTATTCAAAAGACACATTTTTCTGACCTGTTATATTCACTAGGGGATTAACTTAAGTGGCGGCCAACGACAGAGAATCTGCGTAGCTCGAGCACTCTATCAAAACACCAACATCGTCTTCTTGGTATGATTTTTTTTAAAATACGAAGTATGCAAACTTCACAATAAAATGTTGCCCTTATATTTAGCTTTCCTACAGGGACCTATATCTACTTTTGAATCCAGAATGCAGAGACAGGAAAAAGAACAAATAAACAATGACCAGAAGCTGTAGCAGAACATATTAGGAGACTGGTGAAAGAGGGCCCTGTAGTTCAGTATAAAAAGATTGGGACAGGATTCCATACTCACACTGAGAACCACACATCATCCCACTGAAATCAATGGGACTTTTTGAAGAGTCAGGGTATCACAATTTAGCTTTTTGTGGGGAATAAATGGACTTCGGGTTTAGCAATGGGATCCAGGGCCTTTCACGTCTCTGTTACTAGTCCCAATTCAGTCTCTGCTACTAGTCCCAATTCAGTCTCTGCTGACGATTTCTGAAAGTCATCACCCATGTGATGGCTGTTTGAGTCCTAGGCAAAATAAATTGGTGGACTCATCTTAGTTCTTAGAGGACAAGTGTTCACATAAAAAACTTGCCAACACAATTGTCATCCTTGCTGGTAGAGTCAGTGGAGAGAGGCCAAGGACTGGAGTCTGAACTACAATCTCTTCCTTACAGGTACTCTCTCCAGGTGGAAGTACAGATATATTAATGAGTCGGGTTTGGATCTGAATTTCCCCAAATTTTGGGGGAGGGTTCCAAATCTGTTGTTCCAGTTCAGGACCATCTCTAGTTTCCATGACTGTCAATCTTGGACCAGCACTAAATTGACTCAGAAATAGAACATAAGCATTTAACGGCCATACTGGGTCAGACCAAAGATCTATCCAGCCCAGTATCCTGTCTTCTGACAGTAGCCAATGCCAGGTGCCCCAGAGGGGAAACCAAAAAGTCACAAGGAGAATCTGAGTGATTTACTACAGGCTTAAGAGTAAAGGTTTGATCTTTCTTATTGTTTTCCACTTTTGCCCTCTCACTAAAGATGGTAAAGATTAGCATTAGGGCAATAGATAGCACTTTAGTAATTACAGCTGTTTGCTTTTTTAGAATAGGTTAAATATTTAAAAGAACAAAATAAATAAACTCTGGTACATACTGTGATGGGTTGCCCCCCTTTAAGGTGCCACCTAATGTACTGGGATACCACTGAGCTGGCCTGTTCTGCCAGGCTGGACCCCCTTTGCCCTGTCTTGCTGAGCCAGGCTCTTAAACCTCCTCTAGCACACACACAGGCAGGACCACACCCAGCTGCAGAAAGACACAGACACTGAGATCAGCTCTAGGAAGACTCAGCTTAAGGGACTTGCCCCAGCACTCAGGTGCCCCCCTCCCTTGGAGTGCAGGCCCAAAGGTATATTGTCTTGTGCTGTATAGAAAAATCTGCACAGCCCAAGCTCAAAAAAATTTGCCCTGTCCCTCAGTGTGAAGAGATATATGCACAGCTTCTTGCCCTCCCCTCCCCGCCCCCACCCCCAGCAAGATATAAATTGCACAAACTGAGTAATGTTATAAACTTATAAATAAGTTTATTAACTACAAAAGACAGATTTTAAGTAATTATAAGGGATAGCAAATAGAACAAAACAGATTACTAAACAAATCAAACAAAACACGCAAACTAAGCTGGATTCACTAAAGAAACAGGTTACAAAATGGAATTTCTCACCCTAAATGTTGAATTAGGCAGGATGCAGACTTTCTGTAGCTCAGAGTTCCAGTTATTTCTTCTTACAGACTAGAACCCTGTCTCAGTTTGGACTCACCCCTGCCTTTCCCTTCAGGTTAGTTTCTTGTCCTTTCAGGTTTTTTCAGCAGTCCTTCTTGGGTAGGCAATGGAGGAGAGAACCCAGATCAACCCCCTTCCCAGCCCTTAAAAAGGATTTGTTGTTTTATCCCCACTCCCTACAGTGGAAAAGTACCAGCAGTGTCCAAGGGAGTATTTTTCATCAGGTGACATTATCACCTGACTTTGTCGTGTCAAATGCAGCATCCCAGGAAGCACCTCGGGAAGGTGGGAGATTAGCATCATCAGAGTTCTATTGTCCTTCTTTAATGGGTCATTCAGGAGGATTGCGTGCTGTCTGGTGGGCGTTCCTCCCAAGTACACACGCAGTTGTAATTCTACATAGTCAATATTCCTAATTTTAGATACAGAAATGATACATGCATATAAATTGGATAATCACATTCAGTAAGTTATAACCTTTCCGATGATACCTTACATGAGGCATCTTGCATAAAGTATATCTTAGTTATGCCATATTCATATCATAACCATATTTCTATGAAGAATATGGGGTGTAATGTCACACCTACCCCTCTGCCCCAATTTTTCTTTTATCCAATTGCAGGATGATCCATTCTCTGCACTGGACATTCACTTAAGTGATCACTTGATGCAGGAAGGTATCTTGAAGTTCCTCCAGGAAGACAAAAGAACACTTATACTGGTGACACATAAATTACAATATCTGCCACACGCGGACTGGGTAAGAGGGGAGCCACCACTTGCCAGTTTGTCACATTGTAAGGACTATGGTCACCTCCATGGGCCCTTGGTGGGGATATAGTTGAAGGCAGATCTATAGTGCTTAAAAGATTGTTCTGCTAAGAGCCATCCCACCATCTGCTCTTGAAGTGGGCCTGGAGCGTCTACCCCTACATTCCACTTGTAGGTCTGAACACTGACTGGTATGGAGTAAAAAGCATTTTATTTGAACTTTACTTCCATTTAACCATGGACAAGTAATTGGCACACAGCTTATCAATCAGAGCTGCTTACGATCTTTGATTGAAATGTGCTATACAAACAATTATTCTATTGTTATTAATTATACCTTGTCCTCTTTCTTTATGTCCACAAATAACTATTTCCTATAATAGTTTCATTGTAAGATATATGTTGACAAAATAACTTTTAAAAGCTATTGAGATCTGCTGCATAGTCCCAAATGCAGCGATTATATCACGTTGTTGAGTAGACCTACTGATAATCCTTCTTTCTAGATCATAGCTATGAAGGATGGTTATGTGCTCAGAGAAGGGACATTGAAGGACATCCAGACCAAAGATGTTGAACTGTATGAGCACTGGAAAACTCTGATGAATCGCCAAGACCAAGAATTAGAAAAGGTAATGACAGTGGGACCAGGGTGCATTGTAGCAAAGTATTGCATCTTGAATGTTGATCCATGTTTGATGGATTTAGGGTGAAATTCTCCTCTCAGGTTGATTGATGGGTAGAATTCTGCACATCAGTAGACCTCGTGGGAGGATTTTGAGCTCAGTGACTTGGTCGTCTGGGCTCTTCAAGGAGACCAGAAACACAGGCTTCTGTGTTACCTCTATGCCTTAGTAAGAGAGAGCTTTGCTGGAGCTTAAACTGTGTCAGCTCCCTGCCATACCAGTCTGTCCACCTCACCAGCAAACTCCTCAAGGTTTGGCCAGTCTAATCCTTGCTTCGCAGGTAACATTTAGTGAACCCCAGTTCCCGAGTTCCCCAGAGATGTCTCCTTATAGTGTCCAGTGCTCTCAGTGGACTCTCACACAAATTATTAAGTCTGCTGTCTCCAAAGAGACACTACACACACACTAACATGTTAACCCAGCTGAAGACACATTCTTCACCTTAATACACAGCACTGAGATGTTTATAATAAAAGTAAGCATACGTTTATTAATAAAGAGCATAGATTTAAGTGATACTAAGCAAGAGTAATAGAGACAGAAATGGTTACAAATAAAACGGAAGTAAAACATGCTTTCTAGAGTCTCAAATTTAACAGATTACAATACTGGTCTCAGGCAATTTCATAGCATCTTCAACCTATATGGCTGAAGGATCCGCCTTTCACAGATTTCAAGAGCGCTGCCCTCTTTTGTCCCTTAAGTGATAAAAGGTTCTCTCCCCTTCTTTTTATAGTCCACTAAACCTTTGAAATATATTCTTTTGAAGTGTATCCCCAGGTAATGTTTTCTCCCCTGCTGCTTGTGCTCCAGGAAGCTGATGCCATCCTGTCTTCCTCATTCTCCCCTCAATTTGCTTTTCTGGTGGATTCAGATGCAAATGAGCTTCCATTGTCTCTGGCATCACCTTTCTTAGACTAAAATGATGGCACTCACAGTAGGTTGGGCTCTCAAATTAATGTAATGTTACAGGATTTGGAAACTGACCAAACTACTTTGGAAAGAAAAACTCTCAGAAGAGCAATGTACCCAAGAGAATCCAAAGCACAACTGGAGGATGAGGATGAAGGTACATTATATCTTTTCACACTGGGTAGACTATAAACATGCATCATTCACATGTATCCACATTCTTAATATATTGCTAAATTTTCTTGGCAACAAGATATAAAGATGTTGATGACATTTACTCCTTTGGGCAATAAGAGTAAAAGTCCAATACTTTGAGCTATTTAGAATTAGAGCTGTTGAATGGATTCTTCATGGAGTTTTGCAAACAATGTGCAGGAATAAGGATAGAGGAGAGCTAGTTAGAGATTTACTATGGAGCATTTTCTGGAGATAGTAAGAGAGAAATGGAAAAAAAGATATATTGAGAAATTCTGGGCCAGAGCCTCAGCTAGTAACATAGCTCAATGGAAGTCATTGATGTTATGCAGTTTTACACCAGCTGAGAATCTAGCCTTCTAGCTCCAATTATGTCGCATAGTTATGAATGCCCCCACTGATTCTGCCTATTGAGATACCCCCACCATGGGCTCCTTTGACATAGCCTGTAGTTATTTGCACATCCTTTTAAAGAAGAACATGATTTTTTTTAAATTAGAGATGGAGCCTAGGCTGCTATTTTTAAATCTGGATCTGTCTAGGTATTTGTGGCCCCAACAGCCAAGTTACGTTTTTGTTTCCACAAATTTCTACATTTTTGGAGGCAGGAATCCAAATCTGAATCACGTGTAAAGTTACCTGCGGGGTTATAGGCTACTGGCAACAGGACCTATCAAGAACACTCCTGGCTGGGATGTTGGGGAGCCCCTCAGGGGAATATTCAGTTCTGGCAGCCAGTGAGATGGTGCCAGAGAGATAAAGGGATTAACTGAATGCTTCATAAACTTAGTGGAGTACTGATTTACTCCAAGGACTCTCACTGACTGGCAGAGTTATTGACTGGATTGACTATCTAATTAATAAGTTCTGTTTGTGGGGCTGTTTATGCCTGTAGACTGTTTCATCTGGCTATGCTACTTGAGGGATATAGGGTATTTTCCAAGGCTCATGATGACAGAATGACTTGGTGGTTTAGTGATACCTTCCACTGCTTTTCTCCAGAGGTTGAACATGCACTTCTTTAACATGTACAGTCTCCAGTGGTCTTGAGGGCAGAAAACCCCAGGTCTTCCCACACTTCTAGTTCTGGGATATAGCAGTAATGCCATGTCAGTAGGCCAGTCCTATAACCTAGGTACAGATATCGTCTTCCTTCAGTAAGTTAAAAAGAATAGGGATTGAAGGCCCTGCGGGAACATGACTATACATGCCAACAGAACACCAGCATCCAACAACTCCAAAATTCTTAGACAAAACACTTGGTTAAGGTGGTAAAATACATATCAATAACTTCAAGGGTAACATTTAACAGGACATTGTGCTCTAGTTCCTTGTTATCCTGGTTCTGACAGTCACTCATTGTGTGATCTTGGGAAAGTATTTAAACTCTTTGTACCTCAGCACACATGAAATTTCAACTTCAGATCAATTAGTGACTCTCCATAATATTCAGAATTACTAAATTACTTTGGAGACTGTCAGTTCAGGGCTGTCAAGTCAAAGGAAAGTTCTGTCAGAAGACTCCAGGTCTACGTTCCCCTCAAGTGTGCATAGTAGTACTGTGAGCTTCAATACTCTTGTTGCATCTCAGAGTTAAATCTCCACAATGCAATATTTTCACAGCAGCATATTGTGATACATAAGCATGTTACAACAGAGCACAACTGTCACCTTATGTTGCAATGTGATGTGGTTACACATGATAGTGTCCTCTTCTATGAAGATAAAGCTTATAGTGATTGCAGGTAACCAGGGCCGGCTCCAGGTTTTCTGCCGCCCCAATCGGGGAGAAAAAAAAAAAGCCGCAGCAGCGCGATCGCGCCGCTCCACTCCGAGAGGGACTGAGGGACCCGCTGCCAAATTGCCACCAAAGACCCGGACATGCCGCCCCAGTAGCAGCTGGAGTGCTGCCCCTTGGTATTGGCCACCCCAAGCACCTCCTTTTTTAGCTGGTGCCTGGCGCCGGCCCTGCAGGTAATGTTAAGGCAGAGCCCTGCTAAGCAACACGAGACAACTCTTCTATATGGAATGCTTGGCAAAGTTGTCTGTAGCTTCTCAAACAACCCATAAGAGCCTCACTCCCGATCTGATAATGTAAAGACAAGCTGAACACACCAGAAAAGCTTTTGGAAATCCTAAAACTAGTCTGATCTCTATGAATGCATTCCATACTGAAGATATGAGTTACTGAGGGCATGTCTACACTTACCATGGATCGACACTTGATCCAGCGGGGGTCAATTTAGCAAGTGTAGTGAAGAGCCACTAAATCGACCACAGATCGCTCTTCTGTTGACTCCAGCACTCCACCGAAACAAGAAATGTAAGGTAAGTCAACAGGAGAGTTTCTCCTGTCGTCCCAGTGCGGTGTAGATACCACAGTAAGTTGACCTAGGCTACATTGACTCCAGCTATGTGAATAACATAGTTCATCCTGCCCTTAAGGATTATTAACAAAACTAGAGCTGGTCAACTAAAAGGGAAGGAAAAATCATGATTTTGTGAAGGCCTTTCCCCTTTTCTAATTTTCAAAAATTCAAAAAATGTTAACAAGCTGTAGAGCTGGTGGAAGAAAAGAAGGAAAAGTAATAAAACATATCAAAAAGTGTTGCTGTTTTCTAATTAAAAATGTCAAATTATCACCCAAATGTCAACATTCAAAAAATGTCAACCATCTCAGGTCAAAACGTGAATGATTGTCAGTGTGGTACTGAATAAAATCTAACTGATTTGGTCAAATCTCTGAATTACAGAGGAAGAAGAGGAGGAAGATGATGATGATAACATGTCAACAGTAATGCGGCTTAGAACAAAGATGCCGTGGAGAACTTGCTGGAGATATCTTACCTCTGGAGGATTTTTCTTACTGTTTCTGATGATTTTCTCCAAGCTCTTGAAACACTCAGTCATTGTAGCCATAGATTACTGGCTGGCAAGATGGACATCCATGGAGAATAAAACTGGGGATTCCATAGAACGTAATCGTGAAAACAAGGTTGGCCATAACTTAAAGCTTGTCAGACAAAAATGTTCTCAAATAATTGAAAAATAACCCTCTGTTAACCTAGTAACCAGTTAGATTGGGAATGTAGCTAATATAGGTACTATAACATCAATTGTTAAATAAGATGGGTGAAATGGTTAATCTAATTTAAAAAACAATCTAAACCTTAATCCAAAGGTCAAACTGAAACTAAAACTTGTTTGAGGTTAGAAGAACTTTGGGCCCAAATTTTCAACAATTGGAGCCTAATATGCCCCTATATCCACATTTAGCAACCTAAATTAATACCCAGATTTTCAAAAGTGCTGATCACCCAGCAGTTTCCATTAATGCTAACAGAGAAATTAACCCAAAGTTTTGCCATTTAAATAGGATCTGGCAGTGGTTCGGGTTGGAGAAGTATCCCAAAGTTCAGATGCTTATGAAAACGTAGTAAAAGTTTTCTCATGAGATTTCCAGTACCTCTCATATCCAGCCAGAATCCAGAGGGCAGATCCTTAGCTGGTCTAAGTTATTATAGCCCCATGAGACCATCTGAGGAGCTGCCCCTCTGATTTTCAGTGGAGCTTGAAATTAACATTGTTTTTTTTCTTTCTGAAGTTATCCAAACTTAATTCCTGAAACGTTCTGTTCTACTTGAGTCTGAGTTTTGGGGACCTTTGCATTTATCCAAACTAGTTCACCTGTCTAATTCACAAGCCTTGGGCCCAGTCCTGCAAAGTGCTGACCATCCTCAGCTCAAGACCTTGCAGCATACTCACCTTTAGTAGCTGCAGTGAACTTGATTCATTATGCCTCTTCCTGAGACAAATTAGGCCCCCAAATTAATCTCCAGTCTAAAAATCTGCTGCACCCAAATATAGTGAATTGCAGGATTGGGGCCATAGGTTGAAAACTCCTTTTATAATGTAAAAAAAAAATCATGTTAATTTAAACATGCAGCACATGTCCTGTTCTTATTGAAGTCTTTTGGAGTCTGACACACCAGCTGGTCAGTGCTGTTAGCTCTGAAGAACATTGCCTTGGGTGTTTCCAAGGTTAATGTTTTTCTCCTTTTATTAGTCTCATCATGTCGCTGTGTTCAGCACGCTTTGTGGAGCAGGGATCTTCCTTTGCCTCGTCACATCCCTGACCGTGGAGTGGATGGGCCTCACAGCTGCCAAGAACCTTCACCACAATCTCCTCAATAAGATCATCCTCGGACCAATCAGGTACAGCAAGAGTGATTTTTCCTGCTGAAAGGTCAATTACCAACGAACACCTGCTGTGTAACACAGTGGCTAGTGCTGAGAAGAGCATGGCTCATTCCCCTATGGCCCTCAAGTCCTGTAGAATCTGAAAGTGCCAGCTGAGATGCTCAGGAAATTACCCTCTTTCAGGCTGGAAAACATACAATTTCAGATTCCGCCTGCTTTTCATACCCAGTGGTTTTCATCTGAAAGTAATTTCAAGGTATAAAGTTTTCAGACGGTTTGAAATTCATCAAGAGGTTTTGAGGCCACAGAAGGTTCCCAGTGCAGTGGAAATGCACAGAGGTGGAAGTGTGGGGGGGACACCACATTTCTTATCCTCCAAAGAGACAGGTTCTGCATGAACTTGATATAGCCCAGCACAGAGTGGGAGTGTGGAGTGGGTTGGCCCAGGGAGAGATTGTATGCATGCAGTGACTGCAGTTCCCAAATGAAGGGTGAATAGGTAACATGCTGTCCTGTCCAGCCCAGGAGTTGGAACCTTAGCCCAGGACAGCAGGGTGGACTTTACAATGAATCTTTCACGTTGAGGGAGCCAGAGGATGGATAGAGGAGCTGAGAGAAGGGAGCTGACAGTTTTTCAGGGGGCTGTGGGAGAGGAGACCTAAAAGTTTGGGGTTAAAATAAGATTTAGATGGCATTCCAAATGCAAGTATAAGACTAAATGATAGTTTTCATGTTTACTAACTGGTTCTAGGGGACTGGTTGCCGGCCCCTGGTCTAACATTTGGCACGCGGCTCGCCAGGGTAAGCACCCTGGCGGGCCGGGCCAGTTTATTTACCTGCTGACGTGGCAGGTTC